CTTGTGCCTTAACTTCTTCAGTTAGCTGGCACTTCCGAAGTAAGGCAACATATCAAAAACAGCAGGGTAAAAAAAAAAAAAAAACCAGCAGGGTATTTATGCAATCATATGGGTGACATTTTGTGTCCAAGCGCTACCTGAAATAAACACTTGCTTTCCTGAGGAACTGTGAGGTTTCAAAATATTCGAGAAATTGCCAAGTTAAATAAAATGAAAGTATATGATTATCATTGCTACAATTTTTAGGTAAAACTTAATATAACATAGGTCAAAAAACCGCTATTATCTCTAAAAGACTCTGACTGACTTTTAGAGTGAACAAACCCAGCTTCTTCTGCATCAATGCAGGGCTAGGATGTAGTTCTGAAGCCACTTAAAAGTGTCAACAATCAATCAAGTCAGTGATCAAAAATGCCGAGTCTCTGGAGATCAAACACTGATCCTGTTTGTGGGTATCAGTATGATCCATGTTTCTCCTGAGGATAATTATGTGTATAAAAGCACATCAGAAAAGAGGGCCCTGCCACGCCCGAGAGCCTCACTCTTCCCTGCTCATCTCCTTATGCCCTACTCTCTGGCTAAGCCATACGACCGAGGTAAGTTGGCTGTGTTCTCGTCTCACTGGCCCTTGCACATCCTGCTCCCTTTGGCTGGAACATCCTTCTCTGCTTCCCTGACCTAGCTAACTCCTAGTTATCATTAACACTCAGCTCAACCACCATCCCTCTCCTGAGAAAACTTCCTAACCCCTGCACTAGTGCACACATCTGTCTGGTTTTCCCAGAGCACCAATGTCTCTTGCTACACAGCACCTCGCACTGTGTACTGTCCGTTCACTTGCTAATATTCCCAAAGCTGTGAGCTCTTTGAGTACACGACACTTAACTTGATTCATCTCTCTTTTCTTTTCCAGGTCCAACACAGAGCCTAGCTTGAATAAGTCCTCAACAGATATTTGCTGAACCAAATGAAGAGGAAGGGTGAGACCTCAAAGGGACAGACTTAGTACTCTGAGCTGCAAGGCCTGCTGATACTGTTGCTAGGAGCCAGCTCCTCTACCAGGCAACAGCTGCAGACTCCTCCCCCACTCGCCAGACCCTTTTGCAGGTGGTAGAAGCAAAGAGGATGATGGGAGTATATTGCTACTGGTACTACCAGGGAGGAAAAAAAAAAATCTAAAAACCAGAAAAAAAATTGGCTAGCTCGCACAACCCATACTCTCGCCAGTATTCAGTGCCTGCTGCTGAGGAGATACTTCAGTTATTCTAAGCTTTTCTTCCAGGGGTAAGCACCTGGCCCCTTCAGTCTCACAGAGTTTAATCTTGATAAGGAGATAAAGCAGATCCCTTTCAGTCTTTATCTCTGGATTTGGACATTCAGAGTCCTACTCTACCTGTAGACCAGAACGTAGATACCAGATATGGCCCCAAACAAGAATGACTTAATTTTAAAAGTAGAAAGACAAATTCCATGGAAAGTAACATATTATAAGTAATCAGCACACTTAAACTTCCTGGCAACGAAATAGGGTCTGCCTATCTGTAGTACCCCTAACCATCACCTGCAATAGTGTCTTCCATAAACTTTGGAGTAAAATGGACAAATGGATGAATGGATGACCACTTCCGGTGAAAATCAGAAAAATCTGATTCCATCCAGCAGAGGGCACAAGCAGCTTGGGACCAAAGTGAGGACACTTACCCAGGCTGCCCCAAATCCTGGCAGCTTCGGCTTCCATGGATCATTTTCAAAAACGGCACAGTTCTGGCTATATTTTACTTTTAAATTACTCATCAAATGCTAGTTCTCTTTCTAAACGATGAAAAAAATCAAATATTTCCTGAAGAGTAAGCCCACATCATCTGTCCAGAAACCCCAAGGGCTCTCTGTTCTTCAACTGATACTTGAGGAACTGACCATGGTCAGGAAATCCTGGTGACCTTTGATTTCTACGACTAAATTTGTGCATCTTGCACTCTCACAATAAGGAGCTTCCTGAGAGTCTGTGAAGTACTATAAAATGATCTCAGAATTGAATTAATGTTTATGCCTTTCACGGTTAAGAACCATAAAGGTGAGAAAATTCCAAACAAAGCTTCCGTAACTTGCCTTTGCTTGTGCCTGGCTGTTACACAGAGTGGTCTATTATAAGGGAGCCCCTCAGGAGACAGGGCCTATTCTATACCATGGCACAAATACTACACGAACTGGAAAATTTAAGTAATTGGTATGTGAAAGAATAACAATGTCCAGTGGAGATCTGTATTAGCTATACTTCATATTAGAGCGACAGAGTAACAGGGCATTCTGATAGCCTCTAAGCCTGTCTCCAGGGAGGGAGTTTTGTAACCCATAAAACCCCATAGAAAACTATTACAATAGTGCATGTTCTAGTATTTGGTCACCACAAATGAGCCAAAGTTACCATGAAGCATGTCATTTCATCAAATGAATACTAAGATGTAGCCTTACTACATTAAAAACTCAGTGCTCTTCAGCCTCTTTGAATAAGAGGCAAGATAAAATAATTGATAACTAAACTTAACAGCTTTTTAGATCTTGAAGCCAGTTTGCCAAGCAAGACTCATGACTATCCAGTCAAGTGGACTGGAAGGACAGAGTCAGGGAAGCAGACAATTAAAATTGTGAGCTGAGTCTATGGATATCTAATTTGAAAAGAAAGAGAAGAAAACGCCTAACTTCAGTAGGTAAAGTAAGTTAACAATCCCCCAGGAATATTAATCATAGTAAGATTATGATGATAATAGTGGGTGTGAGCGACCACTGAGTTGCCAAGCACTGTTAGGCACTATATTAAATGATTCCTGTAATTCTCAACAATCCTGTGAAGTCAGGATCGCCATTTAACGGATGAAGGCGCTCAGAGACGTAAAGTAACTTACTTAAGAAACAGAACTAATAAGTGGCAGAGCCAGAATTCAATCTCAAGGCTGTATCACTCCAAAGCTCAAGCTCTTGCCACTGCATGATGCTGTCTCTCAAGAATAAAAATATGACATCAGCCTTAAGGATAAAAAATGTTAAAAATTAATCTCACCCACCTGTTGGATCCCTCTGGTATTCACTGACTCAAGCTGGGGGGGAGGGGTGAGAGAGGGAGGAGATAAAAAAAACAGTGTACAACTGAGGAAAGAGTTGGTGGGAACAGAGCCAGGACAGAGCTACACTGAGGCCTCCCCTCCTTCCTCTGCCAGGGCAGAAATTACCCAAATCCACACACCAGGAAAACACCTGTCAATCCATGGCCGTCATCCCAAGGCTGCAGACACCCTTGGTTTACTTGAAAATGCAGTACTCTGAAGAAAGTTTCTAACATAAAAACCTGAACAGAAAGTAGTTCCAAACCACCAATAACCAACTAACAATCTCAAGTTTATTGTTCTGGGTCACCACCATTATCCAGTTTTCAACTCATTTCTGTTGTCCTATAACTTGCACTTTCCTACCTGCCTTCTCACCCATACCTAGCTCCTTACTTCCCTCTTAGAACAGGCCAATCTCTCCTACACCCTGACATTTCACAGCTTTTCTACCTGCCAACTCTAAGCTTCTCACACAAGATCCAATCTCCACACCAAAAATCCTAATCCACCCCCTTCACCCACGCCCAGCTCCCGTGCCCCCACCTCTCAAACCTCACACCCTTCCAATCCTTCCATCCCTTCTGAAATACGGCTCCCTGTCGCCCAGCTGCAAGCCCACCTCCACCTGGCTCTCCTTCCTTCCCCCCACACCATTCCACCCGCGCCCTCTCTAACCCCCATGCACTCTTCCTCTGTCCTTCACCATGTACTCCTCCCTTTCTCCCATTCTGAGTTTCCCTCTCCCAGGACCCCAAACTCTCCATCTTTTTCCTTGTCTTCTGCCCTCAACCTTCAAAATCCTTCACGCTCACTATGCCCAACTTCACAGCCCCAACAACTTCTCCCAGCCCCCAAAACCCCACCCCTTCTCCTATTCCCATCCTAGATCCTTTCCTCCTTGCACTCCTCTAATCCCACTTTTTCCCCCTCCCCAGTACTGCAATTCTCCCTCTCTCTCTAAATTCCCACGCATGTCCCTCCCCAAATCCACCCAAGCTAATCCTGCTCCCTTTTCCCACCCAGGCCCCGAACCCCAAGTCTCACACGCCCCCATACACTACCCCAGCACCCCAACTCCACCCTTAAACCCGTCTCTGACAACCCTAGACCCTCACACCTTTCACCCAACCACACCCCAGCCCCGTCCCTCTCGGTCTTCCCCTCCCCCCATTCCACCCCTCCCTCAAACCTCACACCCGCCCCCACTCGCAGCCCCAGGCTCGGTGAGCGGCCCAGCCCGCGGCCGCCACCTACCTGTGCCCCTGCCTGGGGCAGCCAGCGGCAGCTCCTCGCTGACGGCTCCCTACTCCCGCGGCGCGGCTGAAGGGGGAAGCGGCTCCGCGCCCCCGGCACAAAGCTAGGGAGGGTGGGACACAGAGTGTGCGGGAGAAGGGAGGGGGCTGGGGGCGACCTGCGCCTTGGGACCGCGGGGCCGTCGGGGGCGGGGGGAAGGCTGGGCAGGGGAGGCGCGCTTGCGCGATACCCGGCATGAGGGGCGGGGTCGCGCTTGGAGGCGGGGCCGGACCCGGGGCTGGCGACCTGAGGGCCTAGGGCTCTGAGCAGCGAGAGGTGGGGACTGCGCGTGCGTGCTCTTGCGAGGGCGGGTCCCGTGGGTCTCAGAAGCCCCAGGGAGCCAGCTCAGCTGGGGGAGGGTAGGCAGCGTGCGCTCAGGCGCTTGCCTAGGGAAAGGCCCTTGGGCGGGGCTGCGGAGCTCAGCCCGCGCAGTAAGGCAGAGCACGGGGGCGTGGTCTGGGGGCGGGGCCTGAGGGAGACTGGGCGCGTACAACCGGGAGTACAGCTGTGCGCGACTGGGATCTCGGAGGAGGCTGGGCGGGAGCGGGGCGGAGCTGGGGACCGGCACGCTGCGCAGGGTGGGGCGGGACGGGGCAGAGCCTGTGGGCGGGGTGGAGCGAAGATCCGGGAGTAGGATTTGAGCGCCCGCGAACTCCGCGGAGGCCTGCGGAAAGGGAAGGGGGCGGGGCGGTAGGGAGACCTCGAGGCCCGACAATCAGCGCGCTTAGAGCTAGCCGGAGGCCCAGGCGAGCAGGGTGGTTCGGCGGGCTCGGCTGGTACCGGGGGAGGTGGGAGCCTGGCTGGGCGAGGCCGACGGAGGTGGGGGATGCTGGTGGAGGAGGGAGAGAGCGAGCGTGGCTGGGGTTGTGAGGAGACGCGCGGCGCGGAGGCGGACAGTGGGCGGGCGGTGAGGTGACCGGGATGGTGGAAGACTGACGCATGACGCAGGTCTCTTCACTCCCCTGAGTCCTAGAGACACTAGTGCCAGCCCACGAACTTTCTGGAAGCCAGAAATAATGTTTTGACCCCCAAAAGGGAAAATCAGTTCCAAATAGAAATTAATAAATGTATCCAAATGTAACCTATTAACTGGAACGTAACCCATATACTTAAGAATTATATTTGATGTAGGTTCATATATTTTATGTAATTTGGGCCGGGCGTCCAGAAGTATGTGTTTAGGGCCCTTGGAGCTATTGAAATGGTCTTGAACTGAGTAGAAGGGTGTGGGACGGAGGTGAAAGGGTAGTGTCAGGGCTGGTTGCCTTTCAAGTGATACCAAGCTATAGGCCCTGGCCCTGGGGAGGCAGAGGATGGCCGTTTTCTAATTTACACAAAAGTTCCCAGTGGATGATGTTATGGGAAAGGGTTTGAGTAGTCTGGTTCTAAGAGTACCAGACGCAAGGGGTACTCTTTCCTGACCACAAGAAGAAAGTGAACTGAAGGCTTGGCACAGAAAGCTTTTTGGAAAGAAAGGTTACGTGAACTGGAGGTGAAAGGGTTGGGTAGGTGGCACAGGGTTTAGAGGAGGATAAGGCATCAGGGAAGTCCAGGGTCAGGGAGTTTTAAAAATGCAGAGGATGGCACCCCAGAGTGCACCACCTTTGATGAACTGAGGCCCTGAGTGAACACGTGTGAGTTAGGTAAGGCATCCCAGGATGGGGGGTTAGATTACATCCTGAACCTGCATTTTGGAGTTAAGGAAGCATCATATCTGTTGAGTTGTGTTATGGGTTTCTTCGGGATTGGTGTGCCTCTTTCGCATTAAGTGCAACAAAGGAACCTTAAAGTGAACCCAAATTCTGCCGCTTCTTACTTGTTATTTAAATAATTCCACCCAACACAGGAAAAAGGAAGGGTATTGGTGGCTATAGGAAGTATGAAATGAGTTTTGTATTAAAGTACATATTTGCTTCTTTCAGACAATTTAGGTGGTAAGAATGTGACGTCAGAAAAGAACTGAACATTTGGAGAATACACGCTCTTATTTATCTACCACACATCAATGCTAGATATATTTCCCTGAAACATATTACTTTTTTAAAGCAAATTCTCTCCTTAAGTCTCCAACCCCCACATTTCCACTGCCAAGTAGGTTACCACAGGGTTTTTCTACCTCTGCACTATTCACATTTTCCGTCAGATAATTATTTGATTTGGGGGACTGTCCTGTGCATTGTGGAATATTTAGCAGCATCATGAAATGCCCACTAGATGCCAATAGCACCACCGCCCCCACCCCCAGTATGACAGCCAAACTGGCTCTAGACATTGACAAATGTCCCCTGGGGGGCTGAATCACCCCCAGTCCAATTGAGAACTACTGGACTACAGGCTAAAGCCTACCATCTTTACCTGGCTTTCAAGTTTCTTCATTATCTGTTCCTAATCTACCTTTCCTAGAATTTCATTCAGGCTAAAAGAACCCCAGTGCAAGAGTTCTTTCTCTGGTTTCCTCCGTAGGTTATCACCTAGTCTTCTTGGACACTTTCAGGGATGGAAAAGATTAAAAATCTTTACTTTGCTGGAAAGTTCTTACATCTATGATGTCTTCCTGCTTACAGTTCGTATTTGTTGAGTCCAGTTAAATCCTTTTTCCATCTGTGAAGACTTGTGATATTAAAACTTGTAGTCACATTTCTCTCACTAAAGTATCTCTTCTTTAAACGATAGTCTTTCAACTCCCTCCATGTAACATAGTTTATAGATAATCATGAACTTTCTGTTCTCCTCTGAACAATATCAAGCCTGATAATGTCCTACTTAAATTATACTACCTAGAACTGAACACAGTATTCTAGATGTGGATCACACTATTTGCACATAACAAATTATTAGTTTCATGTTTGTCCATTCTCCTTGACTCTGAACTTAAAGGCAAAAACAACTCTTAAGTCACCATCTTTGTCTTAGGTTTACATAGTCAAAGATTACTACGTAGTGTCTTTGCATTACTAGCACAGTGCCTGGCCCTTAGTTTGTTTTCAAAGATTTTGGTAGAATTTAGTTCCTTCTTAGCTACATTAATGTAATTTAAAATAACATTCCTTTACCTTTGGGGGCAGATATAGTACACTCTTGCCTTATAGTGACTTTGCAATCAACTAATCCTCTACATGTTATAGATGAAAGGTTGGCAAATTTTTTATGTGCTAGTTAATAAATATTTTAGGTTTTATGAGCCTTATAGTCTGTCACAGCTATTCTGCTCTGTCACTATAGCACAAAAGTAGCTATAGACAATATATAAATGAATGAGTGTGGCCATTTCTAATAAAACTATTCATGGACACTGAACTGTGAATTTCATATTTCATATAATGTTCATGTGCCACAAAATATTTTGATTTTGAAAACATTTTAAAATGTAAAAACCGTTCTTAGTTTATGGGCCATACAAAAACAGGTGTCAGGGTAGATTTGGCTCACAGGCAGTAGTTTGACAATCCCTGATCTAGGCCGTTCCTTGTGTGATTGATTTTTTAAGTCTGAGCATATTAAATATCTTACTCATTGCAACCTATCTTTCTAGCTTGCTCAGATTTTTTGTGTGCTAATTCTTTCATCCAGTATATTAGCTGACATCACAGCTTTGTGTCATCTGCAAAACTGATAAACATATTTTTTCCTTCCTTAATTAACAATAATCTTGAATGGGATAAGGGTAGAGGTCTTACACAGTTCATTTTGTTCCATTAATCACCATTCTTTGAGTATTACCATTCCAAGAATTATAAATATCTACCTAAAGTACTGCCTGTCACCCATCCCATATTTATTCATCTCATCCACAGGGTGTCTTGGGATGCTTTGTCTGAAGTTTTGTTGAAATGTTCAGGAATATCCCTAATAGGCAGTAACTCTATCAAGCAAACAAAAAGAAATATGTAGGTTTGGTATAACTTGTGAATTAATGGTACTGTTGCTTTCCAATTTTACTACTTTCTTGTTTAGATTTTCAAAGCTATCCTTTTAATAATAATGAAATTTAGTAATTTTAGAATTTTGTTGAAAATTCACATCCAAGTACATCAGTCTCTATTTCCAGGAATTCACCGTATTTTTTTGTCTTCAAACTAAATGTTAACAGTGTTCATATTAACACCTGTTCTCTGGTATCAGTCGTATTAAAAGCTGTAGTAAGATTGGCAAGAAAAAAGGCAAAATAAAAGCATATTCGAATATATGCTTTTTTCTGAACCACTGCTTTTAACACTTGACCAATCTTAGCACAGCTTTTAACACTATCAATACTAGATTTTAAAATTACAATAGAAAATGCACTTTGTGCCAATAAATATAAAATCTAGGAAGAAAGAATTTTCTCAAAATACAGATTTCAAAATTGACTCAGGAAAGTGTAGAAAGCCTGAAAAGAACTATTGAATTGAAAATAGTCAAAAATCTACATACAAACACTTTACTAGGCTTATAGGATCCAATGACCCAGCAAATAGAAAAATAAGGGAAGCTCTCCAGCTTCTTTATGTTCAGGGTACAGTCTAAATTCCAAATCCAGACATAGACTAAATAACAACAAAAAAAATTATAGGCCAATTTCACTTAGAAATATATTTGCAAAATTTCTAAAAATAATAGCAAACTGAATCCAACTATGGATAAAAATACCAGTACACCTTGGCTGTGTAGATAGAGTTTATGCTGAGAACTGGGGATGCTATAACATTAGAAAATCTTGATTTAATTTATCACATTAACCTGTAGAAACATCTATGTGATCACCTTAGTAAATGTTAGAAGAGCATTTGATAAAATTCAACGTTCATTTGTGCTTAAAAAATAAAAGCTAACAAACTAAAGAAGGGAATTTCTATAACCCAATGAACAGTGTCTAACAAAACCTTCACTGAGCATCACATTTAATGGTGAAATGTTAGAAATATTCCTTGTAAAGAATAAGATTTTTTAAAAAATAATGTTATTTTTTTGAAGATCTCATTTATAGTAGCAATGGAAATGATGAGGTATCTAAGAGTGAATCTAATGAAAGAGGCGAAGATATGTTCCTAGAAAACTGTAAAACAATTTAGGGACTTAAAAGAAGTCTTAAGTTAATGAAAAGATACTCCAGATCCATGGATTTGAAAACTCATTATAGACATGTCACTTCTCTCCCAATTAATCTATAATGGAATTGAATTATAGTTAACATCTCAGAAAATGTTTCAATATAATTTAACAAAACTATAATAATCAAGTATAAAGCATAAAACAAAAAATTTTTGAAAATTAAGTAGGGGAATTTACCTTACCAGTTATTAAGATTTATTCTATCTTATTCTATCCTTTTAGTTTCATATTTAGAGTGTGTCTCTTGAAAAGAGTACTTAGTTTTTTTTTTTCTTCAGTCTTAAAGTGTTTAGTTTACTAACATTTAATGGAATAATCTGTGTGTTTGTGCTTAAATCTGTCTTCTGGCTATTTATTTTCAATTTGTTCTAACTGACTTAATTCTTTTTTTCTTCTTTTTCTACCTTTTTCAAATTTACCATGTATTTTATGGTATTGCATTTTTTCCTCTCTGTTGGCCTCCTTCCTATAACTCTTTATGTTTTTTAGTGGTTGCTTTATCCTAAGTCTAGGATTATAACATGTATCCTTGCTGTCTTTTTGTTTTTAACATCTTTATTGGAGTATAATTGCTTTACAATGATGTGTTAGTTTCTGCTTTATAACAAAGTGAATCAGCTATACATATATAAATATCCCCATATCTCCTCCCTCTTGCGTCTCCCTCCCACCCTCCCTATCTCACCACTCTAGTTGGTAACAGAGCACTGAGCTGATCTCCCTGTGCTATGCGGCTGCTTCCCACTAGCTATCTATTTTACATTTGGTAGTATATATAAGTCCATGCCACTCTCTCACTTTGTCCCAGCTTACCCTTCCCCCTCCCTGTGTCCTCAAGTGCATTCTCTACATCTGTGTCTTAATTCCTGTCCTGCCCCTAGGTTCACCAGAACCATTTTTATTTTTTAGATTCCGTATATATGTGTTAGCATACGGTATTTGTTTTTCTGACTTACTTCACTGTATGACAGACTCTAGGTCCATTCACCTCACTACAAATAACTCAGCTTCACTTCTTTTTATGGCTGAGTAATATTCCATTGTATATATGTGCCACATCTTCTTTATCCATTCATCTGTCGATGGACACTTAGGTTGCTTCCGTGTCCTGGCTATTGTAAATAGTGCTGCAATGAACATTGTGGTACATGACTCTTTTTGAATTATGGCTTCCTCAGGGTATATGCCCAGTAGTGGGATTGCTGGGTCATATAGTAGTTCTATTTTTAGTTTTTTAAGGAACCTCCATACTGTTCTCCCTAGTGGCTGTATCAATTTACATTCCCACCAACAGTGCAAGAGGGTTCCTTTTTTCTCCACACCCTCTCCAGCATTTATTGTTTGTAGATTTTTTGATGATGACCATTCTGACCGGTGTGAGGTGATACCTCATTGTAGTTTTGATCTGCATTTCTCTAATGATTAGTGATGTTGAGCATTCTTTCATGTGTTTGTTGGCAGTCTTCTTTGGAGAAATGTCTATTTAGGTCTTCCACCCATTTTTGGATTGGGTTGTTTGTTTTTTTGATATTGAGCTGCATGAGCTGCTTGT